TATGGTAATACTTAATGGTTTGTCATTGCTATTTCGAATAAAACTAATAAACCAAAATTCCTTGATTATGTGGCAACTCAAAACATACAGCATACTATTTATACTATTTTATTCAGACAGACTGAGACAAAGCAGTTCATAAATGAAATGTACCAACAGTGGTCCTATTCTACTCAAAGTCATTCTGCTAAATGACAGAGATCCTTCAAAAACTAAATGGTATTCCTAGGTATATCCTATCTACGCTTCCAAATTTTGTTTTACGTGTTTAAAAACAACAGTTCTGACCACAACATATCAGAAGTGTCAGGGGGAGGGTATAGCTCAAGTGGTAGAGAGCATGCTTAGCATGCACTAGATCCTGGGTTCAATTCCCAGTACTTCCTCTAAAAAGAAAGAAAGAAACCTAATTACTTCCTCTAGCAAAAAATAAACAAACAAAAATTAAAAAAAAAGAGCAAGTGTCAGAGTCATAAAAGAGAAGGAAAGACTACACCTGAATTAACACAACACTGTAAATCAACTATACTTCAATAAAAAACATTTTTAATTTAAAAAAGAGAGAAGGAAAGACTAAGGAATTGTCATTGAAGGAGGCAAACATAAAATTACACATAAAACATGACAGCTTGTAAATATAAAATTATTTAAAAATGAAAAGTTTTGTAAGTAAAAAAGTTCAACTGCCAATACATAAATGACTAAAAATTAGTTGTCATAGTTCATAACAAGACAATTTCACAATCTCCTCCAACTTAGAAAGTTTAAACAAAAAGTCTCTACTCCCAAGGTTCAACACAGCACAGTTTCCCATTTATCTACTAGGTATGTCCCAAAGCAAGCAAAATATTACAGAGCTTCCTTCATAGTCATAGACACTACAGCTAAAAAAAGCTGAGGAATCAGATGTTATTTCCACCAAAAGCAAATGTTTAAGTTGTCCTGACAAACTGACAAGTGTCACTGTCATGAAACATATCGTTTATTAGACCGTATCAATAAACTACCAAGTTTCAAACAGTGCTGATGGAAGGATATAAACTGCACTGAATCTTACGCTTAGTGCAGGGAGGGGATACCCTAGTTTTAAGAACTGAACACAATAAAATCTATGGACAAAAAATAGAATGTATATAAATTAGCTGAGTGAGTTCTTAGTTGTAAAATTACTTTTTGAATATAAGGTTTCAATACTCAGCAAATGTTTTTCCAAGGCAATCAAAGTATATTATTAGAATCTATCCTTTAGAGCAAGGGTCAACAAAGGCCAAAGGTCAAATCCAGCTGGCCTGTTTTTGTACAATCATGATCTAAGAATGGTTTTTACATTTTTTAAAGGGCTGTACATAGCAACAGAGACCCCTGGTCTACAAAGCCTTAAATATTTACTATCTGGCCTTTTAGAGAAAAGATTTGCCAATACCAGCTTTAAAGCAATAAATTTAATTTTGTCTGATTAATTTAATGAATTTAATTATTCATAATTTAGGTATTAATTATAGTGTCCAATGTGGACACTATAGTCTGAAATCAGTATCTTTTTATCAGTAATTTACTAAATTCTTTCTTGTACTTCAGCCAAGATTAAATTCAGAAAACAATTTTAAAATGTGAAATGAGAAATTTTATAGAAATTAGTGCCAATTCAGGAAGCAGTCTCAGGTATCATCATAATACATTTTTAAAATTTCTCTCATCCTGAGAATGTTATATATTTCCAAGAAATGTCACCTACTCAAGGACACTCTGTCTTAGCATGAGACCCAAAGAAAATCATCAGCTATTAAACTACATAATAAGCCATATCCTTAGTAATTTTTTACTAACTAAACAATGGTCAAAGTTGAGATTTTCCCATTATCTCAAAGGGTCTATAAACTGACATTTTAACCTTTCAATCAATATAGGAAATTTGTCTTCATCCCAAAGCAGTTCTGATTTAGCAAATTATTTGTAAACTAAGGATCCACTTCCCACTTTAGAATATGTAAAGTACACCTTGTTTCAAAACAGATTTATACCACAGCAAAGTTTAACAGGGTTCAGACCAATGCCCTTTGTAAGGTAGTAACATCAAAAAAAGCTTTCATGTGTAAAGAATTCACATTACTCCTTTTATTTTTCAAATTACTCCTTATATCCTGAAAATTAATTTACTATAGATTATACATTTCATGTGAACAGTAAAGTGGAAAGAAAATTACCAGGTGGCCCAAAAGACCCTCTTAGAGCAGTTTTAATGAGTTTTACTTTTTAAAGTCATTTGGTTATCTGCTCCTTACTTCACAAAACAGAAATGACCCAGATTTCCAGTTACAATCGGTTTTGGCCTTCACTCACTGACAGGAAACTCAGCCCTCATTCGGAATGGTACAACCATGAACCATCACTTTAACATCTAAGAGCTTCGATTTACTCACTTATAAGAAAAGGGTTGGTCTACTAGTTTTCTAAGGTCTCTCCATTCATCTCCAGAACCCTGATACTGTAACTAAGACTGTAAGAAACATTTATGACCTGCTTCATTTCAGATAAAATCTGCAGCAGCCTATGCTTCACATACAAATGTGGTACAACAGTACACACAGAAGAACACACACAATGAGAACCAGAGCACAGGAAAAAAGGGAAGAAGCAAAGATATTATCAGAAATTAGCCTCATCATACCCCAATACCATCAACCTACATTGTTTAATGCAAATATATTTACAAATTAAGTCAGACTATTGAGAGAAACCCTGCCTTTCTTATATGCTATCTTCCCCCAAAGCTGAGGAAACCAGTTCCTAAAAGAAGTCTTTAAAAATACCTCTTGGTTTAAACCATTCAAAAAACAAATATAGTAGACATTATTCACTTTTAAAGAAAAATGGAAAGCTGCCTCCAAAGCAAAATGTTTATCAAGTCACTTTTCCAGTAATTTCAAATTGAGTGCCTCCAGTTTACTTCTTGAACTTGATGGAACAAATGAGAGAAAAAGACAAGCATCCACAGCCTTACTTCCCTGGAGCTAGAGTTTACTGGATCCAGAGGAGAGGCTGACTGCCCTGGGAGAGAAAAGCTGCCGGGCACTCCCAGCTCCAGGGTGGGGCGTGGGAACCCCAAGGGCCATCAAAGCAGGCCTGCAACAGCCTCAAGCCTCCTACAGACCTCGAGATCAAGTCAATTTTGGAATTTCCTAAACTTGAACTTAAATTAAAGACCTTGAATTTGCAAGAGGCAAGTACTCTCATCGGCTTTCCTTCGTCTTTGAGGTGCAATTAAATATGAAAAAAAGTAAGTAAGCTCTTTAAAAATGGTATTTGCCTTCAAAGATACTTGAAAATGTAGATTAAATGGCACATACCATATAACCAATAACTAAAAACAATCAATGGAAGAAGTCTCCCCCTGGAAAGCGTTGTAAGAAACAGAATTAAAAAGACGTCAGGCATTACTTTAAGAACAAGGCAACAAAAAGGTTTAGTATCAAGATTTCATTTCCTTTTCATGGAATAAACCATAAACAGAAGTTCATTAGTTGGCTGAATCACTACAACAAATAGAACTCTAGGGGAAAGAAATGTAAAAGTTCAAAATAACCCTCAAAGTAAAGCTCTCAGCAGAAAACTTTCATTCTAGGATAACTGAAAAGACACACTGAAATTGCATCTTCACGCCCTGACTGCAAATCCAGCGTCTCAAGGAGCAACAGAGCACGTGAGGCCCGTGCTTTCACTAGGGAATCAGTGCCTCTAGCACTGCTGACCCAGGTGACCCTATGACTTTCAGTAGCTCAATTTCCTCAACAACTGAGACAGTTGTTCTAGAAAATTAAGCCACCTCACGCAGAGCCCTCAAGTTGCACAACTGCAGAGAGAGGAAGTGCCAGGTGCAGGAAGACCAGTACAGACCCAATCAGGGTCAGCGACTGGTGACCTAAGGCTTTCCTCGGTGAACTTCCACACCCCGAGAAACACTTCCACCTTCCTGAGAGTTCTTTAAAGCGCAGGGTTTCTAAGATTTAAAAGCCGAATTATTTCAGGGGGCAGCCCTATCATCAGAGGCCTACTTTGACCCAGAAGGCTTTCTTCTTCAGGACTCTCATGCTCTCTGTCCCACTCTACCCTCTCCAGAGCGGCAGTGAGATGTAGGAAAGCTACTGGGAAACTGGACGGCATTTCAAAGACATAAGGCATTAAAGAACATGTACATTCGGGAAAATCTCACTTAACTCGCATATATGAAATATTGCCAAACCATTCAATTTTACACTTTCATCGAGTGAACCTATAGTACGCAAGCTATATTTCCCTAAAGCTGCTAAAAAATAAAAATGCAGAGCTATCAAACTGATATGGAGTTTAAAAAAAAACAGTATAAAAGCGAGACTAAGCTCAGGTCGGTTTCAACCTCTCAAAATTAAACAAAATGAATGGCTGCTTGTACAGACAGCAGATACTAAACAAACTCTTGTTTGTAGGGAAATCACTGCATCTTAAAGCCTTCCTCAAAAGGAAACAGCCTAAGAGGGCAGTCCCCCAAATGAAAACCTTCACTTAGAGACAATCAAAAACCTAATTAAGTTAACGTGCGTTTCTCTCTTGCGGCTACTTTCACTTATGATAGAATTACTACTTAAATATCAAGCGATTAAAATTTGCAACAAGCAAAGGCTACAATGTAGAACAGAGTAGTAACTGATACCAAAACCTTAGAGAGTGTTTTCAACAGAAGTCCTACCATTTCGTACACTGTATTCCAGCTCTACGTGGCTTGTGAATCACCTGAAGGAAATCACCCCCAACTCAAGGCATCCTAACAGCGGAGCGCATTTTACAGTAAAAATGCAGCCCTCCAAAGCGGTCCCCCAGCCGGAGCCCGCGGGGCCGCCCTCCCTCGCCCGCTGCCGCGGTGGGCAAAGGCCCGCAGGGCTCCATGGCGCCGGGCAAAGGCCCAGGGTCGTGCAGGCCTTCCCCAAGGAGACAGAGGCTTCCGCCCGCCCGCCCGGCGCTCGTACCTCATGCTGTAGGCGCCGGCGCCCAGCTCCTGCCCAATGCCCGAGAGGCTGGCGTCGAAGTCGTGCACCAGCCCGGACTCAATCACCTCGTCCATCTTGAGCACCCAGGCCATCTTCCGGCCTCGCCGCCGCCCGGCGCGTAGAGCGGCC